TAGCGTTTCACCTTTCTGCCTGAACCATTCCAATATATAGAAAAAAAAACGAGCAAGATTTCTATTTCTGGAGACGAAGAGCCATTTTTGAATCAAACTCGACTATGGTACAAGCTGCAATTGTTTTTTTACTACAATCTTTATCTACAGCTGACTCTTTTGCTTTGCAGAATGACACTGAAGTCAAAGTTGTATATGCTTACCACACCAGCAGTGATGCAACTGGTGGTCTAACAAGGCACACTAACAGGGGAATTTTAGACGGAAAGCACAACCTGATAGTGATGGCAATGTCCGCCATGCAGCCATCTTCCACAGAATCGGGCATCCAGCCATCCCAGACAATGATGCCTCCAACTTCATCAAAGGATTCAGGTGGCTCCACGACGAAGCCTCCATCTTATGCAGTTCTCTCCTCCCCTGATGGCTTCTTCAAGCTACAATGGACTTATAACAACAGCAAGATGATATTCAAAATGACTTGTAAAACCACAGGCTGGTGTGCTGTCGGATTTACCACAACTGACGATGGAAGGAACATGGTGAATTACGATATAGCGGTTGCTGGGTACGCTTCTGGTGCAGGGTATATTGATGTAAGTAAATAAAAACTGTGATATCATGGTTGACAAGTAACTCCCTACTTTTGGCTCGTAATTTCAGCGCTAATTTATAATTTCACACTGTGAAATTTCAAAATTACCATAGCAACTTAGGCCCGAAATTTCTCGATACAATGAACAAAGCAAAAACCCACGATTGTAAGTGTAATTTGTCGCCTTTGAAATTAAATGGTAATTAAATGTTATTCTCGTGAAACTAGGAAATAATTGTACTTGCGTTTTGTCAAAATATTACTAATTTCCCTCGCCTGAAGGCTTGGGAAAGAATTTTGACAAAGCGGACGTGAAATTATTTCCTAATTTCACTCTTCACCGTTTGATCACCCATACTAATTGGCCGAAGTAAGAACTAAGAATTTACATAGCGTCAAAATTACAGGCATGAAATCATGCTGGAATTCTTTAAATCCTCTGATCATTTGCAAAAAATAGAAACAGTTTATTTTCCATGAACCATTCTCAACCTTAATGTTACACTAGTTAGTTCAAATACTTAATTCTTAAAGTACAAGACTTGATGGCGTTACGATGTACATGTTAAGACGCGTCTGATCTGGTTAAGCTGGACTAAACAGGACTGTGTCAAACTTGTGCCTCATCAGGTACAAAACGGCACTAAAAAATGAAAATGGAAATGGAATGGAAATCTAGCTAGCTCCGTGAGCGGGCAAGGTGAAACCAAATCCTGCACCGTGATTGGCTCGGAATTACCCGCTGTGTCCCGCAAGAAAACAGTGTTCTTTTTCCATGGATCAGATCCGTTTTGACTAAGCTTCCTCGGTCAAGATGTCTGGAAATTGGACCTTTGTGGATCTTGACCGAACAAGCTTGGTCAATAACCCATATATTTAATGATACAGCACCTCTGGGAAGAAGTATAAAATAAGAGTGAAAAGTTCTCTTTCCTGGGAAACGAAGAAGAGAATGATTTCGGGCTAAATCGCTCTTCGTCACTCAATACTCAGAATTCAAATTAATTATTACAAATTAACGCGATTGTTTTCTGAATTGTCCCGCAGGATCGTTGGAGTACCTCGAGAACCCTGCCTTCAAATGATACAGAGCAAAACTTCAACCTCATGATGGCAAGTGAACAGGACGGACAGACCATGGTGGAGTTTTCCAGAGACGCGCTTACAGGCGACACTGTCAATGACGTGCAGTTTACGGTATGTTTAAACTAATGAGAACATTTTAGAGAGTAAAAGGAACGAGGCAAGAGAACTTGACGAGCTATTAAGCATTTGGAAATGATCAAACTAGTGTTGAAATAGGTAAGTTGAGAGAAGTCAGGAGCTCTTCGGTTAAGAAGAAGTCAGGAGAAGTGCTCTTTTGAGAAATAAAGAACCGACTAATGGGAACATTTTAGAGAATAAAGGGAACGAGGCCAAAGAACTTGACGAGCTATTAATTTTAAACATTTGGAAATGATCAAACTAGTGTTGAAATAGGTACGTTAAGAGAAGTCACGAGCTCTTTGGCTAACAGAAGTCAAGAAAAGAACTCTTTTGAGAAAGAAAGAACTGACAAAGTATGGCTTTAAATAGAAGCCAATTGACGATTTAAACAGATAGAGGAAGCAAAAAAAAAAAAAGAAGAAAAAGAAAAAAAAGAAAAGAAAAGAGAATTAACAAAAAAGAGTTCCAGAGGGTGACAGAGAATAATGTGAGACTCACTGGCGCGCAATCCGTGCATAGAGCTATATGATTCCTTATTGGAAGTTTGCCAGAATTTTTTGCCAACACTTTGATTTGAACTCGTTATGAAATGTCAATCTTGCAGCATATACTACTTTCCTCTTGATTTTGTTTAATTCTCCAAATGTTATTTTTTAATTGCTATTATGTTTTGCTTAGTATGATACTGAAGTGATAGTTGTGTGGGCTGCTCATGCAAGCTCTGATGCAGATTCTGGCCTGTCACAGCACACTAAGACGGGAATACTGAGCGGTAAACATAACCTGATTAAGGAGGCGATCTCAGCCATGCAGCCAAAAGCGACTCCACCCATCCCAACAGATTCAGCTGGTGTAATCAGCCGTTGTTTTTCATCTTATATTGTGCTGGCATACTTAAGCGTGTATTTTTTGTCTTTCTAACGCTGAAAGACGATTAGTTATGATTATATGTCCACAAGCTCTTAATCG